TCTTTTTGCTGATTGAAGTCTTTCAGTTTTTCTTGACAGCAAGGTAATGGGCAAAGAAGTGAGTCTTTATATAGGAGACTGAAACTGAGAAAGATGATCTTTAGTACTTGAGAAAGGAGACACCCTATTATCTCTTCTCATTCTCGATCTTGAGTCTGGCCTTGAAGGAGTCTTCATAGCGAGGAGATATTCCCAGAGAACGGATGGAAAGATGGCTTTTGTTGTGAAGAAGTAGGAGAGGAGCTAGGAAAGATTCCTCACTTTGACCAGCTAGAGAATGAGTCAGTCTCATCCTGTAAAGCAGATTGCTTATTTTCATGCCATTCACTTTACTTATCTTTTGGTCTTTTCATTAATGCTTATTTTTCAGGTCTTTTTTTTTTTTTTTTTTTTATGTCTTTCAGCCTGGCCTCAGATGGGGACAGTAGGGGCCGCAGTAGGGGACATTAAGAGAAAGTGTTGCGTTTACTCTCAGTCACAGAATCAAGTGGGAAGCAGAGCCTCCTGGGACCACTGAGATGGTCATCAATGAGAGCCCTGCCTACCCGTGCCAAGGACCGTCATCTTTCCTTACCAAGAGGTCCACTGCACCTACCAGGGAGAGTCAGGCACCTCTTTGTTAGTTTAGTAAAGTGCTTTTCTTCTCTTATTATTTTTTATTGTAAGCTTTTTAAAACTTGTGGCACTAGCTGGGGTTTAATTAATTAGTTAATGGAGAAATATTATTTGCATTAATTTGAACCAACTATTCATTATTACATATCATTTCAATTTGAGGTTTTTTAAAATTTATTTCTTTATTTTTTAAAAAGAAAGATTTTTTAAAAAAGATTTTATTTATTTATTCATGAGAGACACACTGAGAGAGAGAGAGAGGCACAGACACAGGCAGAGGGAGAAGCAGGCTCCATGCAGGCAGCCTGACATGGGGCTTGATCCTAGGTCTCCAGGATCAGGCCCTAGGCTGAAGGCGGTGCTAAACCACTGAGCCACCAGGTCTGCCCCCTTTAAAAAAAAAAAAAAAAACTACTAGGATGTCTTTTAATTTAAATTTGTTTTGCCAACATACAGTATAACACCCAGTGCTAAACAAACAAACAAACAAAAAAACAGCCCAGTGCTCATCACATCACATGTCCTGTCACTCAATTGCCCCATCCCCCCACCCACCTCCCCTTCAGCAACCCTCAGTTTGTTTCCAAGATTTAAGACTCTTTCATGGTTTGTCTTCCTTTCTGATTTTTCCCCATTCAGTTTCCCCTCTTCCCTTATGGTCCCCTTCACTATTTCTTATATTCCACATATGAGTGAAATCATATGATGATTGTCTTTCTCTGATTGACTTATTTCACTCAGCATAGTACCCTCCAGTTCCATCCACATTGATGTATAAATGGTAGGTATTCGTCCTTTCCGATGGCTGAGTAATATTCCAGTGTGTGTGTGTGTGTGTGTATGTATATCATGTCTTCTTTATCCATTCATCTTTATTTTTGATTTTATCAATTACTTCATAGATTTGTGAACATCTGATTCATTGGCCTTGACATTTGTTACTTATTTAAGTTCTGAGTAAATAACATATGGAAAGGCCTACCACTTGAAAAGATTACATAGATGAGACAGGGGTAAATTAATATAATGGTCTTTGTGTCCCATGATATAAGAACTTAGAACTGTAGGATTAGGCAGATAATGAATGTTAGTTTGCCTTTTGTGAGGCACTATTTCTGGTTGACAGAGTCAACAGATTTAGGTCCTGGTTCCAGCTCTGCTACTTCAGTATGAACATGAGAAAATGTTAATCTCTGCAATCTTAATCTGCAAAGTACACTCTTTGAGCTAATATATATGGAGTCATTATTATGCTCTAGCAAAACGTGGTCTGTGCCCTCAAAGAGCCAAAGACATACATGTCAATAATAAGTATAGTCGAATAGTATAGGTGCTGTGAATGACTTCATAGTGGGAGTGATGCTTAAGATTCTTCAAAAGAGAGGTACATCTCCAGGCAGAACAAGGCAAGGGGGAGAGGGAAAGGTAGGGCGTAGAGAGGTCACTCAGGGTAGGGGATCAGGAAAAGGACAAGAGCACAGAGGCATGAACAAGAGGCCGGGACTGGCATGTGTGGGTGGCAACCAGATCTCGAAGAGTCTGGTATTTAATGCTTACATTAAAAAGTTTATTAAAAGGTCTCTACTGCTCTCTCTAGCTTGGATTCTGGTCTAAAATGCTATTAGTGATAAGGAGTTAATATGTTCAGATCACTCAGTGTGATTCTTGCACTCATTGACAGCCAGGTAATTTGACTGCCCACGAAGACTGTGAGTTCCCTTGTGAAACTTGGAGCCTTTGTAACCATTAAGGGGTGGGAAATAGAGTGCAAATACCTTTAGTCAAACTCTCTTGCCATGGTCTACATTTTTTTGGTATTTTTTTATTATGAAAAATTTCACACATACCAAAAGTAAACAGAATAGGATAATGAACTTCCTTCCTTTACCCAGCTTCAACAATTATCAGCGTTCTTGTTTTATTTCTTATTCTACTCATGTCCTACTCCCATTCAGTTATTATTATTATTGTCATTATTCTTCTTACTATGTCATTATTCTTCTTACTATGTGTGTCATTTACACACATCAAAGTGTACAAATCTTAGATATATGTTTTGACAGACAGGTACACCGTGTAATCTTCTCCCATCACAATATAGAACATTTGTATCTTCCTCCAAAATTCTCTTCTGTCTCTTCCCAGTCTTTCCCTATCCCCACCTCTACCTCCATCTGAAAAAACAAAACAAAAATTTGCCCTAATTTTTTTTAACCTGAGATTAAGTTTTGCCTGTTTTAGAACATACATGATCGAATGCCCTGTAAGGAGTCTAGTTTCTGTCTCCTTTCACTCAACTTAATGTCTGTGAGATTTGTACACGTGGTTGAGCCTATCAGTAGCTCCCTCTGTTGTGTTGCTCAGCAGCATTCCCGTTGTAGGAATGTACTACAATTTGTTATCTTCTCTTGTCAAGGGATACTTTGGTTGTTTCCAGTTTTGTACTATTGTGAATGAAGTTGCTATGAACACATTCTTGCTATACATTGTTTCATAAAGCCATTTTCATTTCTCTTGCATAAACCTCTAGAAGTAGAATTACTGGGTTTAAAGATAGGTATATGTTTAACTCCATAAGAGACAGCCAGTTTCTCCAAGTGGTTGTACCAGGCATGTGCGCAAGTTATATCTGCACTACATCTGGCAACATTCGATATTGTCTATCTGATTTTAGTCATTCTGTGTATGTGGTAATCGCATTGTAGTTTTTATTTGCATTTCCCTGATGCCTAATGATGTTGAACATTTTATTTTTCATCTGCTTGTTCGTCATATGTCTTGTTTTGTCTATTAGTAAAGTCTTTTGCCCATTTTCAATTGGATTTTCTTTTTATTATGGAGCTATAGTATTTCTTTATATACATTCTGGATAGATGTCAGATGCATTTGTTTTGGGAGTATTTTCTCCCACTCTGTGTCTTACCTATTCATTTTCTTAACAATGTCTTTTGATGAGCAAAAGTTTTATTTTTGATTGCACCTAACAATTTTTTGTGGTTATTGCTTCCTGTGTCCTGTCTATAAAATCTTTACTAATCTTCAGATTGATAATATATTCTATGTTTTCTTCTCAAAGCTTTATACTTTTAGCTTTTATACTTAGGTTCATTAACCTAAAGTTAATTTTTGTTTATGGTATGAAGTTGGGGCTGAGGTTCATTTTTTATCCCCTATGGACATTCAGTTCCAATACCATTAGTTGAAAAGACTTCCCATTCCCTGTTGAATTGTTTTTGTACATTGGATGTAAAGCTGTTGTCCAGCTGTGAGGTCATTCCTGATCTCTGTTCTGTTCCTTAATCTTCTTGTATATCCTTATGCCAATGTTGCACTGTTGTAATTACTGTAGTTTTTGTGGTAAATCTCGAGTGAGGTAGTCTAGGAAGTACATTTTTGCTGTTCTTTTTCAAGATTGTTTTGGCTATTCTAGGTCCTCTGAATTTTCACATAAGCTTTAAAAGTCATCTTGTCCATCTTCATTAAAAAGCCTGCTGAGATCATGAATTATTTATAAATTATATGGGAGGATTAAATTTGGAACAATATTGAACCCATGAACATACTTCCTTGTTTATTTAGGCCTCCTCAATTTATCTCAGCAGTGTTTTCATTTTTTATGTGGCTGTTTTGCATGTCTTTTATTGAATATGTTACTAAGTACTTTGTTAAGTGATACTATTTTAAATGAATATTTTAATTTTAATTTTTTAAGTCTGTATAGAGTATATAGAGATATAATTGACTTTATATATTCTTTTTTTTTATATATATATTCTTATAATACTCTGAAACATCGCTATACTCACAGTTACCACACAGTTCCTAAGCACCATGGACTTTCCTCCCTTCATGTTTTCATGACTTTTCAGACTTGAATGTCCTCGTCTCCCTTGCCTGCCCCTAAAGAGGGCCAGGGTGAATGCTACAGCATTTTTGAAGTCTTCTGATACCAGCCCACTTAGATTCAGATAGCCCCTCCTCTGAGAGTATCTGTTAGAGCATTTTCCACCTCAGGTCTTGAATGAACCATTCTGTGAAGGCAAGAGGTGTACTTTATCTCCTTTCTATCCCCACAATATCTAGCATGGTGCCTTGGTTCTCAGTTTAGGAGTGGGTTTTTCCAGCATTTATCTTGGGACATACAGGAGATGATGTAGTTTTGGGGTGAGGTCGTGGGGAGGCAGGAAATCCTTACAGTCAACTTCAATCAATTAGAAACAATCCCTGAAGTGTATCCTAAAAAAAAAAGGGAAAATTAGACCTTCTTCTTATTTAAAATGTTTACCAGTGGGTAATCTACTTCCACTCTAAATGACTTTGGCTTTTGCTGCCAATCTGTAATGTTGGTACATTATGTTTCTTCTTACTTGCTTTTTGTTTTCTAGGTGGCTGATTGTGCTTGGGATGAAACAATAAAGATATATGATCCTGTTTGCCTTACTATGCCTGCTTGAGATGCACTCCCCCAGTCATAAGCAAAGGAGACTGGTTGAGAGCTACTTAATAGGAAATAAATTAACTACCCATAACCTAGATATTATGCTTTTATGTGCTATTCAGATTTCAAATTTTTGAAAATGTACCCTGAAATCAGTTTTGACACAGTTGATAAAGACTGTGGTTCACTAATTAAGCCTGGTACATAAGCAATATTTCTTAAAACAGTCCTAAGAAATAATTGATGTTATAGTACCTCTTGTAATGTCTATTAAAATGTAATCTCTGTATTGTAAAATGGATTAAAATATGGAAGATCTGTAGATTATATTGATAGTGACATATTTTATTTTTAATTTGTCATTTTTGATGTAAAATATAATCACTGCTGTTGGTAAAAATTAAAATAAACTACATTTCTCGATTACTTATGATTCTATGACATCCTAGTAAGGTTGCTTTTTCTAATATTTATAAATGAATACAATACTATATATAATACAGAGGTATCTGTGGTTCAGTGACAGGGCTCTGATATAGATTTGATTTATTCAGCAATACTTACTGAGCATCTACTATGTTCTTGACACAGACTGAATGAGATTATCTCAAGGACTAGTGGCATGTTTTAAGAACATGGGATGCTGTGAGTTAAAAGCTTATGTTTTTTACATTTATTCAGCTCTTTTTAGATGCTATAACCTTGACCCTATATTTCTCTCTTCCTATGTCTCTACTATCAAATGTTTTTTAAAAAACTGGTCACTGGGCAAAAAGTCTTAGGTCCTACAAAGTTTCAAGCAGTTACCCTTGAAACTCTCCCTAAGTGATACTATAACCCTCTTTAAATTTCCTTGAAAACTCCCTAGGTGCAGATGATCTGCTAAAAAAAAAATAGGCGGAAAGGGAAAAATTGGTAAAACCATCAACATTGTATTGCTTTTATATTTTTATATAATGTTAAAGTAAAATGTTATAAAAGGAAAAAATTGTCATTAAATTTTTAACAAGTTTTTGAACATTTTTAAGGAGCAAAATATATTTGTAGTAATCACAAAAATTAGAATATACGTATATTATCTAAGTTATGTATTTACATTACATATTTGTTTACTTGTTCTAGAATAAAGTTGATAGCTTACAACATACAAAAACAAGACCACATAAAAGAACAAAAGGAGCATAAAGAGAAGCTTTATGTAGGAGTGAGGCTTGAATTTCTCTGCCTCAAAGTCCCAGAAAGTTGCTCCTGGCAGCATAAATGGGAAGCCTGCTTGAGTGCACAATTCAGTGCTCAAGGCCTAATGGCAAGGACTTTGTCTTAGTCCCACGCGTGGCCCTGGTTCTATACGTGGTGCATAGAAGGTGCTCAAGAAATATTTGTTTAAAATTTTTTTTTTGTTAAATGAATGTACTCATGGAAAAGTACAACTCTTTTTAGTTCTTAAACCAATCAGTACAAATTGTTTTTGAGAGGCCCCAGAAAGAGGACACTGCTTTCTTAACATGAATATAGGAATATAATGTAAGGATCAGGAGGTCAAACACATCCTTAGAGCAGTCATGATAAGGCTAATGGAGCCGTTTCTTGTTTCCCTCCAGAACTAGTGGCATCACACCAGGTGCAGCTCAGTAAAAGCAGGCTCACAGTGGTGTTCTATATATCAGCTGAATTTATAATAGGTCTTTAAAAAACATACCTAACCCAGATCACATTTACAATGAAATAAAACTACTTACTTATTTTCCTTTTAGGATGCAAGAGATTTTGTTAAAATAATCTACCATGTATCTTTTGAAACAAATACTTGTGACTTAAAAACTAATGTCTCTCTTGATTTTTTTTCCCCCTCGATATTGAGGATGTTAGAGGGGTTTGGGACATTGACTGCATAATCCTTAACTCAGGTTCTTAGAGTCCCCCAGGATGAAAGAGCATGGGTAAATGTTTATCCAGTGGGTTCCCTAGAGCAGGATTTGGCGAACCAGAAGGAAAGGTGCTGGATTCTCTCCTGGAAGAGAATTCCCAAGATTTTTAAATACTTGGTAGTTCACAAGCCAGGCAGCCTCTGGACAGCATTTGTCTCTGGGCTAGTGAGCACTTAGCTTTCATCCTGCCTGCCTCTGCAACCTCTTCTGTGATCTGGGCACAATGTGAGATGATTTCTCTATGTTATTCCTTTTGATTTACATAATATCCTTACAAGGAAGTCCTCCCAGTTTTCCAGACAAAGAGATGAAGGCTCCAAGAGCCGATAAGCATAGAGCTGGAATGTGAAATCTGCTTTGACTGGATCCAAAGTCTAAATTGCTGAGGCGCTGACCCTGAGTCTGGAGTGACCCTACTAAGGTATGTCACCCTCAGAAAGATCCAAGCTGAGAGCCAACAGTACAACAGTCTCTTCGATCTGTGGCATGTTTTAACTGACCAATGTGGCTATAATTTGGCCTTTCCCAAAATGAATTCATGAATTTCTTAGCAGGCCTCTTCTTGAGTGAGATAATCCACTTAAATATTTTTTAGTTCCATGTATTCACTGAAAACTTCCAGATCTGTATTTCCTGCCTCCCCCATTCAGGTCTCACATAGCCTTTGTGCTTATTTTCTTCTAATCAGACTAACTGGTCTTGCTCACCAATGGGCTCCTCTGGCACATGCTTTCTCACTTGTTGCCAATGCTGTCCACCCAGGCGCTCAAGCTAAGACTTAAATACCATTCCTGTTCCTTCCCTTTTCCCCACCCCTCTACTACAAGACAAATCCCTTAAATCCTCATCCCTTTGACCCCCTAAATACTTCTTCATTCTGTCTTCTCCCTTCAATCCAGCCAGCATAGCTCTGGTTCAAGCCATTGTTAAGTTTTCTGTGGACAATCCCAGCAGATGATCCCTCCCTAAATGAGGGGTCTTTCTAGTTTTGTGCCCTCAGAGCCGTCCTTCCCAACACAGCTGCTGGAGACAGATCTAAAAACGCAATCCAATTACATCAATTTGAGTGTAAGACCTTTCTCTGCTTATAGGATTGACTACAGGAAAAAAAGTTTAAGCTCACTAATCAGGCAGCTGTGGTCCTTTGGAGCTAGCCCCTTCCTCTCTCTGCACCCTTGCTTCACCAGCTTTGTGCTCCACAACACAGGTGTGTTCACAGACTCCCCGTATAAATAATGCAGGTGTTCATTTCTGTCTTTGTTCAATGCAGCCAACGTGCCTGGATTGTCCTGCTCTTGGCTCAGTGAATTCTCATTTATTTTTTTATTGAAGTATAGTTGACACATAATGTTAACATTAGTTTCAGGTGTAAATTGGTTTGACATCATTTGAAAGTCATGTGAAATGACTAAAGAAAAAGATTGGCAATACAAAAATTAAAATAGCAAAATACACCATTAGCAAAGCTAAAATATATTGGAAGGTATATTTGCAACATATGTAACAGACTGTTTAATAGCCACAGTTAATAAAGAGCCTTCAAAAATCACTAAGGTGATCAAACATAAACATGGATAAAGGATATCAATAGATAATTAACATGAAAAAATGCAAATATTTAGTACACTTCAAAATAAGTGCCTAGACTTTGTCTAATTGACCACAAAGAAATGCAAATTAAAATGAAATTCCATATTTTGCTTATCAGTTTGTCAAACACTAAAATATTGATAATATGTAATATTAAAGTGAGAGCACTGCTGGGGCACCTGGGTAACTCAGTTGTTTAAACATCCAACTCTTGATTTGGGCTAAGGTCATGATCTCAGGGTTGTGGGATGAAGCCCCAGGGCAGGCTCTACACTTGGAGGGGAGACTGCTTGAGATTCCCTCTCTCTCTCCCTCTGGCCTTCCCCCTCAACCCTGCTACCCACCCCCATGCTCATGCTCTCTTTTGTTCTAAAATCGTTAAAAAAAAAAAAAGGTACGAGTACTGTTATATACCTTTTTGGAAGGCTATTTGGCAGTAAAGATTTTAAATTACTGGTTGACTCCAGTAATTCCCTGTTGTAGAATTCCCTGTGTGCTCCCACCCCCAAATACTTATAGAATATGTAAGAACAAATGTGGAAGAGTAGTCATTACATCATTGGTAAAATCTAGATGCCTGTCTCAAGAAGGAAAGGTTATACTATAGAATAATCATTTAAAAGAATAAGGTAGAACTATGTGTTATCAATATGTATAATAGTGAAAAAATACATGAAACATGAAAAAAAAGAAAAAATACATGAAAAAAACATGAAAAAATAGTGTCATAAATATGTATAATAGTTATCTATTTCTGTGTAACAAGCACCCAAACTGTAGCAGCTTAAAACAACAAACACTTATTTTAGAGTTTCTATAGGAAACTATAGGAATCCAAGGAAAAAACTCTATAGGAATCCAAAGATGGCGTAGCTGAGTTGTTCTGGTCAGGTTTTGTCATGACAATTCAGTTAGACTGTCACCAGGGTCTGCAGGTATCTGAAGCTCCCCTGGGGCTAATGAATCAGCTTCCAAAGTCACTCATGATTGTTAGCAGGCCTCAGATACCCACCATGTGGGACCCTCCACAGGTTGTCTGAGTGTCCCCTATGATATGGCATCTGGCTTCCTCCAGACTGACTGATAGAAAATTCAAGATGGGAGCTTCCGTGTGTTGTAACTTGATCTCAGGGAATGACACCATCACTTTGCTGTGTCTTATTGGTCACATAGACCAGCCCTGGTACAATTTAGGAGGGATTAACCAAAGGTCTGAATACAAGGAAGTAAATATCATGAAGGCTAACCAGCCCACAATATGTTTTATTTTATTTTATTTTATTTTTATTTATGATAGTCACACAGAGAGAGAGAGAGGCAGAGACACAGGCAGAGGGAGAAGCAGGCTCCACGCACCGGGAGCCTGACGTGGGATTCGATCCCGGATCTCCAGGATCGTGCCCTGGGCCAAAGGCAGGCGCTAAACCGCTGTGCCACCCAGGGATCCCTTTTTTTAATTTTTATTTAAAGATTTTATTTATTTATTCATGAGAGACAGGGAGAGAGAGGGAGACAGACACAGGCAGAGGGAGAAGCAGGCTCCATGCAGGGAGCCTGACATGGGACTGGATCCCAGGGATTCAGGCCCTTGGGCTGAAGGCGGCGCTAAACCGCTGAGCCACTCGGGCTGCCCATGTTTTTAAAATAGTAAATTAGGGGTGCCTGGATGGCTCAGTTAAATGTCTGCCTTCAGCTCAGGTCATGATCCTGGGAGCCTGGGATCCAGCCCCAACATTTTTATTTATTTTATTTTATTTTTTTCAGCCCCAACATTTTTTTAAAAGAAGTATAAATATGTATAAATAGATACGTAAGAAAAACTTGAAGGTTTGCATCAACAGCCAGCTCTGCCTAGTGGGGTTGGTGTGGGGTTAGGGGTGGGGAATACTGAAGGTAACATGTTCAGTTATTGTTACAAAGTTTGTTTTCCTTTTACATACTATAATGAGAATGGGTTACTCTTAAAAATAATGAAATAAAACCATATTTCCTTCTCCAGGATGTCTTCTCTGCTACCTCTGGAAAAAGCTGATTTCATTGCCCTCTTTATTGCTCTTCTGTTTATGCCACAAGAACCCACTGTTGCATAAGCATCTCTTGCATGGTTTGCCTCACCTCTACCTGTGAATCCCTAAGACCTAAGATGTGGTTCATCTTTGAATTTTCTGTGGCTAACCAGCTGCCTGGCCCCGAATACTTGCTCTGTATGTTTGCCAAATGAACGAACTAAAGGATTTATTTAATGCCATCAATATGTATTAAATAGCTCCAAAGATAATGGAGCTTGATACCTGTAGGTCAAATAGCTTTTTGACCTGCAGAGCTACATTCTTATTCAATTAACCTTGCTAAACATCGTATTCTTGTTTTTCCCATTTTTCTTTAGGAGCTTATCTAGTAAATTGGTGTGAGAGAGATGGTATTAAATTTTTTTTAAATGAAAGCCCTAATGGAAAAGAATTATATGCAA